ACTTGAATATTTGAGGTGGTTGTTATAAAAAATGACACTTAAGAATTAGGTTAATTTAAAAAGAAAAAAAAATTGGAAATTAAGGGCGTTCTTTATTTATTTATTTTTTTAGGATTTTCTAGATGACAGAGGCCAAACTCTATAAAATTTTCTTGCCTTTCTCAGAACATGAAAGGACCCAACTCTGAATGGAAATCTGTGATGATTTGCAAATCAAGTAGTATCACATTGCCAAATGTTTTTCAGTGGATTCCTTCTCATAAACAGCATATACTTAGATGCTTGTTTTTCAATATTGCTTGTACAATCTATCAGTTGCATCTTTTGTGATCGTGTCTATAAATTTCAGTATACTCCATTTTGTTGCAGATAAAAGAAGTACAAGGGAAATAAAAATCAACAGACGAAACTGAAATTGTTCCAAATGGAGGCTGGTGAAATTGCATTTGATAGTGAGGGCGAACTTTTAGTTGGGGCATCTTATACCCTCGCTAATCTTGCCTCCCACCTGTCCAAAGACGAGCCTTTGGATGGCCCTGGATTTGAAGGTGTCCAAGAATCACCTGCAAAGAAGAGGAAGATTGAGACCAGCAATCATAATGCACTAGAGAAAGATGAAACTCCAGGTAGTACAGTACACCTTCTTCTTCTTGGTAGTTCATAATTCGTAACGCTCATATTGAAAGTTTTATACTGAAATATCCGTTGTCAAGGTCGTAATTTGTAATGTAATTGAGAACCTGTTTATTTAGGTTTGCTGGTGGGTGTATATTTATTTTGATAGCATGGTCAAATATAAAATAATGAAAATGCAGGGATAAAAGTTGTTTTTCACAGAGATATCAAAATAGTGTTTGGATATTATTTTTCAGAAAGGAAATGCGAGTGGCTGAAAGGGTAGAGTTTGTGGGAAAATGTGGAGTAATTCATTGGTAATGATGTAGCGTTTTTGTTTAGTAATGGCTGGTAGTTAGTGGGAGGAAAAAAAAAATTATGTGAATCGGTAATGTGTTTTCTGAAAACTTTAATTTATAATTACGTGGTGATACATTTTAGGTGTCACAAACTGTTATATTTTCAAGAGTCGGCTTCAAGAGTTTTGCCAAAAAGCTGGGCTTACAACTCCTGTTTACGAAACAATCAAGGAAGGCCCTTCCCATGAGCCGTTCTTCAGATCAACTGTGATTGTAAACAATGAGAGGTACGATTCTCTTCCCGGATTTTTCAACCGCAAAGCAGCCGAGCAGTCAGCAGCCGAAGTTGCATTAGTAGAACTCGCCAACTCAGCTGATATGAAATTCTGGATCTCTCAACCTGTGGTAACTGTCTTTCTTTGTTGCTATTTATCTGTTTGTCAAGAGATACACTAGTAGAACCCTTTATTTTAATATCTTTAAATATCACATTATTATTTGTTNGACCTGCATTTTAAAAAATACGTGTCTTAATCCCATCTACTACCTGGCCATTTGTTTAAAAAGATTTATGGAAGATATATGATTTCTGATTACAAGCAGTCACTATATGAAACTAATAATTTCTGTAGTAACTCTCAGAAGCAGTGCTATACGGTTCTTTGAAGGTCAATTGGGGTGAAGTTTGCAAACTTGGTTACCTTTGAAAGACTCCCATAGTATATATGTTAGTATATGTTAACTTTTGTCAAAGTTACTCGTTCTCTAGTGGATGCATGATATAAAAAGTTGGAGTTGAAGTTCTGTAATGGTGATTCTCAAAGTAGCTTTTCTTGCTCGCACGTGTATGTGTGCATTTCTGAACCATACTATTATCTGAATTTTCTTTTTGTTAGCAGACTTTGAAGAAACGTAGATACGACATCAAGTTCAAATTTACCACTTTTAACTTTTACATACTTAATGAAACTACTTTTCATTTTATACTGGTAAGGCTGGCCTTTACTGCCTGCATAACATAACTCGTTAAAAGCACCCCAAATTATTATAAAATGTAAGATATTCATGTTGTATCTTTCATGGACAATGTTTCTGATGGAGAAATGGTATGAAATTCTGCAAGTTTGCATCAAATTGCATTTCCTTTACATCTCTTCAAGTGAAATCACCTGAGTTGTTTTTTCTTAAGGTAGAGTTGTTCACAAAAAGAAACAGATATTCTTTTTTTGGTTATATATGCATCTTGGATAACATAAAAATGGTAGCTTGTTATATTCTTTCTTAAAATAAAAAAAATATTTTTATTGTTATTTATTCATTCGCTGAACCTATTTACACGGCCATTGCACATCTCAGCAAGAAACGGGCCTATGCAAAAATGTGCTCCAAGAATACGCCCAAAAGATGAACTATGCCATTCCTTTATACGAGTGCCACAAGGTAGAAAAACTGGGCCGGGCCTCCGCATACTCATGTGTGGTCGAAATTGGGGGCATTAAATACATAGGAGCCTTAGCCAGCACAAAAAAGGAAGCTGAGATAAAAGCTGCCCGAACGGCTATGATAGCCATCCAATCATCTGTCTCTAACTCTGAAAATGGGACGAGCAACTCACTCTACACGGTTTTCCCGCAGAAAAAGAAGTCAACGGATAATAACAAAACTTGTAACAGCACAAAGGATAATGCGAAAGTGGGGCCCTCGAAAAAGAAAAAAGGCGGCTTTAAGAAGAAGAAGGCTTTCAAGAAGCGGAAGCCTGTCGAGGGTGAGATGCTTTCTGAGGTGGAAATGAACGGTGGGGATGGATTGGGGTTGGAAGAGGTCAAGATGGGGAATACTTGTGGTTCGGGGGACTGTTGATGCAAATCTTGAAAGTTTTTGAAGTTGTATGTGATGTAGAGTCACTATGATAATATGCAAAAACTCTTGATGCCTTGTGAAAAAATGGCTAGGTTTTTCTGATTTACTGGGTTTTTTTGGTTACTGGGAAAGTGGGCTTTATTGAGGGTGATATTTTGATCAAAAGTGCCAAGAATTTATTGGTTGCAAGATATTGTGCAATTGAGATGTTATTTATGGTGTACTTAGTTGAATGTGGTACTGTTTGAAGTTGGGAAATTTGATATATTATCCTTTGTGCAAGGGAAATTGTTCATATTTTGTGCAGGTATTCATAAATGTCCAAAGTGGATTATTTGATCTGCCATATCTGCAAACTAAACTAGACTCGGCTCTTTTACTCCAAATACAAAAAGACATTGAAAAGAAACTAATAAATTAACCAAACTAGACAGACACATGCTCTGAGAAAGACTTCAAGAAATCAGTTATCTTTAGATTTAATATAAAAAAAAAAATAAAAAAAATTAATGTTACTTAAGATTAGTTGGAAAATATGTTCCATTTTTACATGCCTTATTTGTGGTCATCATAGCTATTGTACTAAGATTACTCATTATTGATAATTATAAATGTGTAGTAGTCTGCATGACTGCATTCTTTCGCCTTTGATGATTCGACAATTATGTGAAGATTGTGATTTGTAGATTAAATTTTATATTATCGTAAAGAAACGTGAATTTAAAATTGGGTATTCCTAATTATGAAACTAGAAATCAGAGGTACTCAATAATATATTAAAGGATATGCCTTTTTATTATTATGAGAATGGCATAATTACATATTGAGCACTGATAAAAGAGTGTTCAGTTCATTTCTTTCTCCTGTCTGTTTATGTATATACAGGATGATTTTCCTTTGTTCTGATGCATAATTACACAAGAGTATGGTTTACCTTCCTATCTCTGTTTTTCAGTGTTAAAGAGAAATTACATTTACACACTTAACTCGGTACAAAATGTGGAACAACCTCTTTAGGTTTTGCACTATGTAAAATGCAAACAAATATATTTTTCAAGGAGTAACTGTATATGTTTGTGTGTGTTGTGCATGAGAGAGAGAGAAAGTGGTGGGTCCCACTGGTGAGTTGGTGTTGGAATTGTAGGGTGAGTTGGTGTTAGGTGGGGCCTACGGTTGGTTGATTAAGTAAATTACTACATTGTCCTTAATGCGTTTGAAATTTAGGTTTTTTTTGGATGTTGGATCATCTAATTCAGATATTTATTCTTATTTCTTTAATTGAGCATCATTTTCACCAGAACGTATTCTTATATATACTCCCTCCTTTTTTAATTAGATGTCGTTTTGACTTTTTTGATTCATCCATTTTGCTACGTATCTAGACATATTTTTATGTCTAGATACGTAGCAAAATGGATGAATCAAAAAAGTCAAAATGACATCTAATTTAAAAAGGAGGGAGTATAAAGTTTGACATTTACTTTAAATAGTATGTGTAATTTTTCACTAAACACTTTTAGACTTTAAGTTACGAAAAAAAATATTCCTTAGATTTTTTTTCTTTTATTTCTTTTTTTAATTATTTATGTGAACAAAATGACATTACAACTTTTATTAATGTACGACAAATTCACGGTTCTCAGAACCGGACAATCATCGATCCAATCATGTTTATTCAATGATTTATTAGTTGAATAAAAATATAATTGATTAATATTTAATTAATATATAATACTTTAATTTATATAAAAACACTAATTAAATATATGAATAATTTAATTTTTTCAAATATTTTAACTAATTGATAAATAATTTATAAATCTCTATTTTTTATTTAAAATGTATGAGTAGGTAATTTTATTTTCTTGTGCATACAAGTTTAATTTGAATTGAAAATAGAAAGAAAGAAAAAGAAAAAACGACACGTATGTTCGTCAATTTTTACGGAAAAAGCTGCCCACTTTACACAATTTTAACAAAAAACAATTTTGAGCTGAACTTAAAAAGAAAAAAAGGAAAGATGGCTTCTCACCGCACCGGCGGCACCCAACCTTCGGCCCCGCCGGCATCCGACTCCGAACAGCCGCGTGTTGGCTATCCCTACCAACCTCCTCCGTCTGCAATCTCCTCTCCATATGCCCCAGTCGCTCACACACACAGCAGCGGCGCCGGAGGCTCGTTCGGTCCGGATCCGACCCGACCGCCTCAAGGATACGGGTATTACCCCTACCCTCCACCGCCGCAGCATCATGTTTACAGCTCGTTTCCGCCGGGTACTCACCCGGACGTGGTCCGAAGCTTCCAGATGGTGGACAGGAACCAAAACGGATATATCGAAGAAAGTGAGCTGCAAGAGGCTTTGGCTTGGAGTTACTCAAAATTCAGCCGCAGGACTTTGCGTTTTCTCATATTTCTCTTCAGGAATTCCCAGGAATCTTTCTCTAGAATCGGTGGGTTTGCTTTGCTATGTTGATTTTTCCTTTTTTTTTTTTTGTACTGAATTCTTTTGTTTATTGAAAAATGTTTTTTACTTCATTGAACTGTTCTACTATAATTGGCTTTTCTGTGAATTGTTGTTGTTTTCGTTGTTGTTCTTTACTCATTACTCAAGTAAATTGAAAGATCTTCCTTTTGGGCTCCTATCAAATTTAGTATATTGTTTAGCCTTCTTTAGTAGCGAATGATTAATTTGGTTTCATGAAGAGTGGTGTGAAAAATGCAAGTGGGACTTGAATATATTTTTCTGTCATTGTCTTGTTTATCTCTGTGATTCAATCTTGTTAACTTTTCGTCATTTCTGTTGGTATAAAATGTAGGACCAAAGGAGTTTGCGGATATATGGAGTTGTCTCGGCCAGTAGCGGGTGAGTATAGAATGTAATCGTTCATTTATTTTCTTAATACTCATAACTGTAAACAAATCAATATCTTTAGAATCTTATAGCAGGCGATTCTTTAAGTTAAAATTGTGCATGCTATGCATAAGACATGATATATCATGCCCTTATGTGCAACTGCCATTTATGAAATCATTTGACCAACTTACATAGAACATGTGTATTTTGCATATATTTCACCATCTTTTATCTTTTCTCAAACTTGAGAAATTGGGATTTCAAATGAATAAATATCTTGTATGAACTATTTCACGAAGGAGTTGCATCTTAACATGTGGGTAGCATTAGCCGCTGTAGAACGGAAAAGAAATGAAAATGTACTATCCCAAGATGCACGAGAGAGGTGATTGTGAAGACTTAACTGAAAATTAGAATGGTATGTCTTGATGTATCAGAGATAGTCAGGTAATGCGTACCTTATAGGATATTAGAACATGTATAAAGGGACAAAAAAAAGCTGAAAATTGTTAAACAAACTACAAACCCTGGTGAAATATGACTAACTTCTAAATGCTGGTAACGAGATGGCATAAGGTGTCGTCGCTGAGATGTTTCTAAACTTTCTGATGAAGTATTTATAGATAATAATATAGGAGAATAGTGAGAAAATAGAGTGACAATTATGAAAAGGAGATCTTTTGGCCTGAGAATCTTTTTCTGATATTTTTTTTTTATATAGTTAAGAACTAGTTGCACACGAGTTCTAAATCTGTGCAATAGATTCTCTGTTTACATGATGTGTTGTCTTACATTGTAATATGTAATTGTTGTGTCTTTCGAGTTAAAAATATTCTACATGATGGGACTAATGGTTATACCCCATTATTTTAGGCAATTTTTGAAAGATTTGATAGAGACCGAAGTGGGAAAATCGATGCTACGGAATTGAGGGATGCCTTATATAGTCTTGGATATGCATTACCACCTTCTGTTCTGCAAGTCTTGATTTCCAAATATGATGATGGCAGTGGACATAAGGTGGAGCTGAGTTCCGACAGTTTTGTTGAGTAAGAGCCTATTTCTTATATACTAGACGTGATTGCATTTTGGTTTTCATTCAACTGTGAATTTGATGGTCTTTCTTTTTTGTTTCAGGTGTGGGATGATCGTAAAGGTGAGTAAAATCTATTTACAAAATTCAGGACCTTTAGATTCTGTTTAGCATTTGGTATTTTCGTTATGGATATTTGCTCTTACCCATATTTTGTGCTGTTTCTCTACTCGACTTGTGCTTTCCCATTAAACTCATAATTCTTAAGCAGGACTTTTACTTACCTATTGTGGCTGGGGTCGGGATGCAAAATCGATACCATTTTTAATATTTAGCGGATCTTTTACTTGTCATTTTTTTACATGATCATTGGGATCAATCACCAAAACACCTTTTGAGTTTTTCTTTTCTTTTTTTTTGTGAGAAAATCCTTTGAGTGGTGTTTGTTGAGAAAATGCAAAAAAGAAAATGATTATTTATCGACGAGATTGTCATACCTCATGCTTATTATTTTGAACTTCTCAGTTATTCAGATTTTTTACTTCAAAATGATTACAGAATGCATTT